ACGCGTGACTTTTTAAAGGTAGTTCGATCTAGGTCCAATTTTTAACCGCCGAATTGCTATCTGAATTGCTATCTGGAAAATGCTGTTTTTATCAAAATAGCGACGCAGGCAGGGCCGAGTGTCGAAATGAGTCTGAAATAAAACATCGCTCATAATCGGTGCATAGGATAGAGGACAAGCGCGGGAGCTCCAATAGAATAGTTCAAATAATCGTTTCAATATTTGCATAGAGTAAATATTGCACATTCAAATTTGACAAATCGTGCTACTAGGTCCATGTGTAAAAAATCGTACAAAAATAGTGCGGCTTTTTACCCGCATGCGTCGAATGAGGAAGAACAGGTAGCAATTTGTCGAGCAGGAGCCAGTCGAATCCGAGATAAAATGACGCGCCGATGTGTTAAATGACGTAAATAAGCATAAATATATAAGATATATGTTGAGCATATTCTATGAGGCGCGGAGGGAATTTGAAGTGCCAAATGAGCCCGGGATGGAGATATAATCTTTGGGAGGTTTTTGTGAATGCAGAGCTTGTAGTGCAATTTAGGCAAAAATGTCGGCTGTGGGATTTGAACCCACGCGTACGAATACATCACGACCTGAACGTGACCCCTTAGACCACTCGGGCAAACCGACGACCTTGTACCAAACTGCATTCACGATGCATATACACACAACCAAATGCCGACACACATACAAACTTCAAGTATATAGTGTTTTTACTTTTCTTCCATACACATTTTATCACTTGAAGTCGTCTGATTCTCAGATTCAAAGCAACTCCCTCTGTGGAGTGCGAGCGAATCCACTCGTTCGTCGCTGCGTTGCCAGCGAATAGGAAAACTATTCGACATCACCTCAGCCTGCACCGCAGCCTATTTGGTTGTCCGTTGATCGCGTGTTGAAGTCGAATGAAGTGGAAGCAATGTATTGATGCAGCTGGTTTGAAAACAGTTTTTGAGTAAAGAACAAAGCGTGCGCTTGTGACGTATTTGTTTTCTATGGTAGATGTGCGTCGTAGGGTGCGAGAGGACGTATTGGAGCGTCATGTGATGTTTAAAGTGTGTGAGAAAGATAGTTTAGTAGCGTGTATTGACCACTTGATGAATGGGAAAAATAAATATATAAGAAGAAGCCCTAATGGTCTAGCGGTATGATTCCTGCTTCGGGTGCAGGAGGTCCCGGGTTCGATCCCCGGTTGGGGCCTTTCCTTTTCATTTTTCGCACTCGATTCAAACACTCTCATACTTGATATTCCATACCACACCTTTCTATCGCTTTTACAACATTTCATTTGCCTTCATTCAGCCAAACGTCCACGCCATGACTTGTCAAACACAATGTCTTCTTCGAAACAAACCACCAATTCATTACGGACGCAACATTATGGAGTGAGCACAGTGTCTTTCTGCGTTAGTTTCTCCTATTCCTTTTCTTAAATTACACCATAGCAATTCTACCACGACACGCAGATTTTTCACTCGTTTTTCTCATGCGTCTTTACAATCTCGTGAACAAAGAAGAAACATGTCGGAAATAATGTCGAAATAGGCTCACTCCAACAACAACGATCACGCGGATACGACCGTACTTTGTACTCATAATAGAAAGTCTCTTCTCAAGATCCTGCATGTCACGCTTTCACCCGCTACGTACACAATAAATATGCTTTTGTGTCGATTTCACTCGTAGTACGAATTAGTGTAGGCATATCCACTATTAATAACTCTCGACGACGCGGGCACCTCGTGTCCATTTATCGACCTTGAGGTGATTTTCAATTCAGTGATACATGCTTTGTTGACCACGATACGCCATCAGGTTACGCGTGACTTTTTTAAAGGTAGTTCGATCTAGGTCCAATTTTTAACCGCCGAATTGCTATCTGAATTGCTATCTGGAAAATGCTGTTTTTATCAAAATAGCGACGCAGGCAGGGCCGAGTGTCGAAATGAGTCTGAAATAAAAATTCGCTCATAATCGGTGCATAGATAGAGGACAGCGCGGGAGCTCCAAAAGAATAGTTCAAATAATCGTTTCAATATTTGCATCGTGTAATATTGCACTTCAAATTTGACAAATCGTGCTACTAGGTCCATGTGTAAAAAATCGTACAAAATAGTGCGGCTTTTTACCCGCATGCGTCGAATGAGGAAGAACAGGTAGCAATTTGTCGAGCAGGAGCCAGTCGAATCCGAGATAAAATGACGCGCCGATGTGTTAAATGACGTAAATAAGCATAAATATATAAGATATATGTTGAGCATATTCTATGAGGCGCGGAGGGAATTTGAAGTGCCAAATGAGCCCGGGATGGAGATATAATCTTTGGGAGGTTTTTTGTGAATGCAGAGCTTGTAGTGCAATTTAGGCAAAAATGTCGGCTGTGGGATTTGAACCCACGCGTACGAATACATCACGACCTGAACGTGACCCCTTAGACCACTCGGGCAAACCGACGACCTTGTACCA